CCCCAAAACCCCAAAACCCCAAAACCCCAAAACCCCAAAACCCCAGTTTTATATGAATTAATTGAAATAGCTTGATGGAAAATTTGACTCTTGGAACCAATTTTTATAAAACAAATCGTAAGATTGTTCAAAAACAATAGTATTATTCCTAAAAAGAAAGCTAAACTTATATATAGCTTTGAGATCATACAGAACCGGGCATCATAACCCGGATAAAATATTCAGTAGCAACAATAGAAATAGAAGACAGGATATCAAGAGGCTCAGAAAGATGCTACCTTTATACAAGACACCTTATAAAAAGAACGATTTTTACATATAAACGAGTGCGAAATTATATCTAGTGCCTCAGGAATAAAAACTATGCCAAAGAGAAAGAAGATAGAGACCAAAAATGGTCTTGGAAAAATGAAAAACCAAAACTCTCATAGCTTTGAGAAACCTATTGCTTCTTTGATGAAGCTATCTGAGAGCTACACTCCTTTATCTATAAATGAATATGCCGTCAAATCGAAGAGAAAGAGCACCGTCATTTATGATGAAAAGAGTGTCGCATGACCTAAGAAAACACAGAAACGGAATAGTATGGTTGAATCAGACATAAAATAAGAAGCAGTCAATTAATGAGGTTTTGAAGTTTGTTAGCTCTCCTTCACCTAATACTTATGCACACATGAGCAGGGAAAGAAACAAAACTAATCGTTCAAAAAGAAGAGATCCCTCATTAAAGCATGCAAAGGTTAGCGTAATCAGCTGAGACAAGGTCCTAAAGTCTTAAAGGTTAATAAAATATGATGTACGTTTTACACAAAGATTGGATTGGTTTTATACTTTTAGGAACAATGAAGCCCAAACTAAAGCCGAAAACAGGACCTTGCCATGAAGCTCAGTCCTTTAGTGACCTAGTAATGATCCCAGATGAATTCTCTGCTGAAAAGGCTAAAATTAATGCCCTCAAAGATCTAATATCTACCTTAAAGTATTTTGTTGATAATATTTCTAGGGAAGAGAATACTGAACTCAGAGATGCCCTAAATGGCCTATTGAAATGATAGATTTCAATATTTATCAATCAAAGAGGGGTTTTGGGGTTTTGGGGTTTTGGGGG